TAAAAAATTATCTGTATCAGTTTACAAATGATGCATAACAAATCACTCCCAAAATTCAACAGCTTAAAGGAATCATCATATGTCATTGCTTATGAGTCTACCAGTCAGCTGGATGATTCTGTCCTACCTGGGTTAATTCCTATCTGTGGTCAGTTCTGCTGATCTTGGCTAAGCCACCTCACAAGTGTGGGTGTTGGCTAGATATAAACCGGTCTAGGATAGCGTTAACTAGGACAACTGACCTCTCCTCCACCAGATCTTCCACCCTCCAGCAGGTTAGACAGGGCTTGACTAGATAGCAATGCCATAGGTCCATAGTGGAAGCACACAAGAAATCTCAAAAGGCCTCTGCTCCAAACTGACACGCCATCATTTCTGCCACATTTCTGTTGGCCAGCCCAGATTCATGGATTCTATTCAGACATAGACTCTTAATGGGAGCAGCTGCAAAGTCCCATTGTAAAGGGCATGGATATAAGGAAAGATGAAGAACTGTGGCCATTTCTGCAATCCATCTGTCATATCACCTAAGAATAAAGTCTCCCCAATTGTCCTAAAAATGTCTCTTTATTGCTGTGTTTTGGTCCTTTCTTTAATTCTTTTCTTGGGAGGAAATAAGATGAAATCGAGGTTCCCAAATTACATGGTTTGTTTAATACCTGCCATAATCCTTTAATTTAGAGCAGCCCCTTACCTTTTTTTCTTTCATATTGACATTTAATGACATTTAGTTGTTCAAAAGAAACTAATACTGATCAGATTTTAACGTCTCTAAATATTCATTGCACGTATATAAAATAAAACCGAAATATGAAATTATGTCTCATACTTATAGATAAAATCATCTAATCATAGTGCACTATACATTTTGCATGTTGTAGATGGTATATCTTTGAGGGCCTAAATTAGGATTTCCCTGTATTCTTTAGTAAATCTATTTCCTCTCTCATTAATTTCCTACTTTTCCACAAAAGGAATTTATACTGATTTCAAACTCCCATGTGAAGCTTTCTCTGGTTCTCCAAAGCAAGCAGTGTTAGCAACTCTTCCTCACGTTTTTAATATTGCATGTGTGGCTTTTTCCAGACCATTGCAGTCTGCAGTAACAATTGTACTCAACTTGAGTTTTTAAAAAGTCTCTGGTTCTTACTTCTACCAGCTATTAGGAATTCCTCGGCCTCAAAGACTCAGTACTTGGGGATCATTTTTTATAAGTGCTTACAAACGGGTCCTCCGGCTATTTTGTAACATCCACCAGTTCCTCCTCTTTTATTCCAGCCTAGATCCACTTTCTCTGTGTCCACCTTTTTTATTTTTAATTACTGTGGGCCCAGCCACTGTCTAACTATTCTTCCATATTTCCTCTCCCTCTGACTGTGGAAGGAAACATTATTTTCCTGCTTTTCCTCCTTATTAAAACCTATAAAATGCACAAAAATTTCACAGTGAGTTACAGCAGAAAAATAGACAGGATTAAATAAGAATAACAAAGACTGAGGACAGAATAAAATTTCACAAAAGTTCTCTTTTTTTTTTAACAGTATTGGGAAGTTATTCAAAACTTTTTCTCAAATGGAAACAGTTGAAAGTTTTCTTCAAAGCTCCTCTCCCTACTTCTGCCAGAGAAAGCAATTCCCCACAGCTGCAATTTTTACTGATTATTCATTAGTTAATAGAAAAAAATAATTTGCAAGTCCTTAACTCTAACAGTTTGCTTTTCCTTTCATTTCAAAAGTAATCAATACTTTCATTAGGACTACACAAAATAGGAAGCACAGTGAACAAGGGTTAAGTCACGGAGAGGGAAGGGACGATTCTGCCACAAAAAAAGGTGGACAAACGTAAGCACCTGAGTTTCCCTTTTTAAAAAGTGAGGTAATTAACTATATATGGTAGTCAAGCCCTTTCCCTAAAATTTCTGATTCTTATTTGCACACAGAAGGTGTTCAATAATAATCTGCTGAATTAAAGATTGTACTACCAAACAAATAGGTGGGGAAAGCATTTGAGAGCCGGGTTATATACAACTTAAACGACATCTCATATCTAATAATTCTTAACAAATTATTAAGTGGATTTTTTAAAAAAGAAAATATTGGGCCAGGCCCAGTGGCTCACGCCTGTAATCCTAGCACTCTGGGAGACCAAGGTGGGAGGATCGCTTGAGGTCAAAAGTTCGAGACCAGCCTGAGCAAGAGCAAGACCCCGTCTCTACCAAAAATAGAAAAATTAGAGTGGTGGCACACACCTGCAGTCCAAGCTACTTGGAAAGCTGAGACAGGAGGATCAATTGAGCTCAGGAGTATTAGGTCGCAGTGACCTATGATGACACCACTGCACTCTAGCCTGGGCAACAGAGTGAGACTCTGTCTCAAAAAAAAAAAATAAAGGAATCAAAGAAAAAATATCACAACATGTAACATGTAGATTCATAATCTGTGAAAAAATATCAATTATATCATCATCATGACAAAAAGCATCATGAAGCACCTTTCTATTCCAAGTTCTGGACAGGAACTGTTTTTGAAAACTCAACTTAAAATCATGTAAAAGGATATATAAAAAAATAATGTGAAATGATAGTGAAATCTAACCATTTCAGATGTTATAAAAGAATGCTTTTAGTAAAAAATGGATGGTATATAAATTTCAGGATAGGTCCCGATTTAAGATTTATGAGAAATGTGATGTCGTTAACTATGAAAAGGCAGGGAAATTCAGAGATTTATAGCCAAACATCAAGCATTCTTTCAGTCATTCAACAAATATATTTGTTCTGAATCCTAAGTCATTAAAATCCTACTGTTTTATCCTGAGGCTGTAGATTATAATCAACTGTCAGTTATTTGCCAGTTATAAGTCTCATCAATATTCCATGTAGGCTTATGTCAAAATGTTAAAAGGCAAAAAGAAAATAGAATCCTTCCAAACTTTGGTAATCTGCCAACGACTTAATAGAAACCAGTCAAAAAAATAAAGAATAGTTGCTACTATTCATTATTCATGATCAAACACTGAGTAGATCAAAAGTCATGAAACTTTTAAACTGAAATCTCCAAGACCACCACACAAATCTGTAGCCAGATCTGCCTTCCCTTTAATGTGATGGCTAAAAGTATTTTTGGACTTCGGGGCAAAGATGATCTAGGGAAGGAGGCTAATTCTGAATACCTTATATCATTCCTGTGCTCTAGCATTTATCCTTGCTAGAAAAAAAATTAGGCAAGGATTAGTGATTTACTAATGTCTCTCAGCAGCAGGTAAACTAGCTAAAGGCATAACAGATAGAATGGTAAGAAGTCTCAAACAGTAAGACTTTCCTCAACATTCTTTTATTTGGCACATTCCTACATGCATGTCTGCACATGTGTGCAAATCTTAAGTTCCACTAACATTCTCCCTGCCTTTATTAGTTTGCTAGGGCAGCCATATCAAAATGCCACAGATTGGATGGCTTAAACAGCAAAAATTTATTGTCTCACAATTCTGCAGGGTAGAAGTCCAAGATCAAGGTGTCAGCAGCTTTGGTTTCTGCTGAGGCCTTTCTCCTTGGCTTGCAGATTGTCCCCTTCTCGCCATGTCCTCACATGGCTTTTTCTCTGTGGATATGTATCTTCTTTTTCTTACCAGGATACCAGTCATATTGGATTAGGGTTCACCCTCACAGCCTCATAATCATCTCTTTAATGACCTTAACTCCAAACACAGTCACGGTCTGAGGTACTGGCAGTTAGGGCTTCAGCATATGAATTTGGGAGAACACAATTCAGCCCATAACACCTTCTTGGCCCTAAAATATCATGGTAAAGACTCCATAAAAATCAGAGTGTATAACCAGAATAGCAGTAGTAAAATTAGAAATGACACCAAAAAACTCCTCATTAAGTCAAAGATGTGAATTTCTGATTCTTATTTGCACACAGGTGTTCAATAATAATCTGCTGAATTAAAGATTGTACTACCAAACAAATAGGTGGGGAAAGCATTTGAGAGCTGGGTTATATACACCTTAACATTTAGTATCTAATAAATTCTTAACAAATTATTAAGTGGATTTTTTAAAAAAGAAATAGTGGGCCATCGAATTAACACCAACTATATTTTTTTTAATTTATAAGATTTTTCATTGTAATTTTCACTGTAATGTTACAAATAGTGCATTCTTGTGAATTATTCTTTTTTTCTTTTTCTTTTAAGACACAGGGTCTTGCTCTGTTGGCCAGGCTGACATGCAATAGTGCAAACATAGGTCACTCAAACTCCTGGGCTCAAGAGATCCTCCCTCCTGCCTCAGCCTCCCAAGTAGCTAGGACTTCAGGAGCATGCCACCACACCCAGCTAATTTTTATTTTTTAGGGACAGGGTCTCACTATGTTGCCCAGGCTGGTCTCAAACTCCTGGCCTCAAACAATCCTACGGACTCAGCCTCCCAAAGTGCTGGGATTACAGATGTGAGCCACTGCACCTAGTCTAAACTATTCTTAATACTAAAATGAATCATACGATATAACAATACAGGAAACAACTGCTCAAATAGTCCCTATAATATTCTTGAGTCCTAGACCAGTAGATATAAATGCAAAAGAATCTTAATACTCATTTAATCAATGTTCTCAGTTATTACTTTCAAAGACAATCATTTAGTTAATAAGCTTATGTTACCTATTCAACTCAAGTGAAATCAGTCTTTACTATAAAAAAGAACAAATTATTACACACAATTCAAAGCCATTCGAGTCTCCTTAATAGCATCAATCTGATCCATTGTGTTCCCTGATAAATGACAGGAATTTATACCAACTCTCATTTTCGTAGTGCCCACATTTATTTAACCAAACCTTATATTATCAGGTAAAATCAAAGTAAAGAACAAGAATGCATAAACAGCAGGATTTCTAATACTCTATTTGCTACTTTACTGCCAAGACTGTAACAATACAAATGTTGAAGAAAATATTTAAAGATATGAATGTATTAGATGAATTATCAACAATACTCACGCATCATTTGAGCAAGTCATAAATTCTCCCTTTATTTTAGGATGCCATGAACCAGTATGAAGCATTGCTGTGTGGCCCTTAAAAAAAAAAAATAAAGACAAGGGGAAAAAAAGATGTTTAAAAAAGGTAAATAACAAACTGACTAGAACTTGGTCTATCATGTTTAAAAGTAAAAATTTTTAGTCCTCCCAAAAGCACACCACTTTAATTACCAACTGATATTATTTTATCCCAATTTTACCTCATAACATGCTTTATTTCATTTCATTTAATTCCCCTTGTATACTACCCCCTGCCCACTTAGGAAGCAGCACAGTGCTTGCATGTAACAGGTACTTAATAAGGTAGGAAAAAGAGAGAAAAATGACATCCTCTCTTTGGGAGAAAAAATGAAAACGTAAAACTATAATAAGAAAGATAGGTTCTTCTTCAAAGAACATGATTCTTTTCTTTATTGGAAATTAAGAAGAATAGAAAGTATTTAGAAATAAGTAAGACAAAGGCAAGAGACTAGAGGGAAAATCCATATTTTCCAAAATTGTATCAACAATCTTGATTCTACGATACAATATCTCTGTAAGAATAAATATATGAGAAAAGGAAAAATAAATTAGGTTATTACATATAAAACATCCAATTTCCTTAAGTACTAAGTTTGACAGTTGATATCTCTGACATTTCACTTTAACACTACTTGTTTTCTTTTTTACTGTGAAGGTACATCCTCATTCTTTCAAACACACATTTTGGCTTGTGATTATCTTTCAAATTTTTTTAGAGCAATTTTTGTGAAACCATGGATGAGTCAAAAATTCATGTTATCTTTGAATATGAGCTCCCTCATGGAACCAATATAGCACAGACAGCTCGAAATATCAAAGAAGCGTTTAGGAAGGATGTGACTAATTAACGCACAGTATGTCGATGGTTTGAGAAGTTCCATTCTGGTGATTTTAATCTTGAAACTAAGCCATGTGGGTGACCTGAGACCAAGGAGGATAATGATGAACTGAAAGCTGTAGTGAAAGCGAATCTGTTTCAACCTATCTGAGCATTAGCAGCAAGGTTTGACATTACTATTCCAATAATATTGGGCCATTTGAAACAAATGGGCAAGGTAAAGACACCGGATAGATGGATTCTGCATGAATTAAATGAGCGTCAGAACTGAAATCATCTCGAAGCTTGCCTGTCTTTGCTGTTGCAACATAAAGGTGAACCATTTCTACACTGTATTGTTTCGTGTGATGAAAAATGGATTCTTTTTCACAATTGCAAGCATTCGGCATGATGGCGGGATAAAGATGAAGTGCCGAAACACAGTCCAAAACCAGATATTCATCCAAAAAAGCTAATGGTGTCTGGTGCTCTAGCACTGGTATTATCCACTGCAACTTCATGAAATCTGGTCAATCAATTATAGCAGATGTCTACTGCAACCAACTGGAGGAAATGATAATAAGGATGCTTGCAATTAAGCAGCTGAGATTGGTCAATAGAGACAGGGCAATCATGTTGCAAGACCACCCGTCACAAAAAACAATGCTGCTCAAACTACAGAAGCTGGAGTTGGAAACTCTCTGTCATCCACTATATTCACCAGACATTGCACCAACTGACTACCACTTCTTCCAGCCGTTAGACCACTTCTTGCAAGGAAAAACATTTAATTCTCAACAAGCTGTGGAAAATGCCTTTCACAATTTCATCGCCACTTGCTTGCCAAGCTTCTAAGGTGCTGGCATAAGCAAGATACCATTAAGATGACAAAACTGTGTCGATAGTTTAGCTGCATACTTCGATTAATTCTACCACTTCTTGTTTGAAATATGATAGAACAAACTTATGATTCGAAATCGGACATTACATATTTAATAACCCAACATTTAAAATGCTTCAGGAAGATTAGCATAGAAAATATAAAAACACTATAATTAAAACAATCTGTTGCTGGTATAAAAACTGACATACACACTAAACCAACTATAGCAGACATATCAAACATACACACACACACACACACACTCTTTCCTCCTGGGTAGCAAAGTCAGGTAGAGTGGCCTCATACAGTCAGAAGTCAGATTCAGGTGGGGCAAAAAAGAGCCTAATACTTTTTAGTATAATAATGGTAATATCCCTTATTCTGATAGGGTCCAAAACAAAGCTATGCTAAGAGAAGTAAAACGTACACATTTCAATGGCTTAGAAGAAAAATAACAACTCTCTGGAAAGAATGAAATGCAACTAGAGTAACCACACATGGGTCTGGGATCATTTTCAGTTTAAGGTACCCACAATGCCTCAAGTAGTATCTGGCCAAGTCCTAACATTCTGTTCGTGTTTACAGGATACAAATGGGGAGATGCAGAGACTCTTAGCTGCAATGGGGAGGATTGAAGCAGTGCACAGAGGGACTAGATAGAAGTCTGGGGTCTCATTTCCCACACCTGAACTCAAGACTTGTAACTCCAATTGTTTACTTGACATTTCCATTTCTACATCATAGACATCTCAAACATAATAGGTCCAGTAGAGAAATCTTGATTCTTTCTGCCCCCTTCATTTTCAATTACTTTCTTTCCTAGTAGTTCAGGCTAAAACCTTGGGAGTTATCATTAAATACTTCCATAACCATAACCTTAAACCCTTCTCTCTATCTACCCAGACTCAACCCACCATCTACTCCTGTCAATTCTATTCAAAATATGTCTCTAGTCTATCCACTTCTTTCTTTTTCATCACTATCACTCTTGAATGATTCAACAGTATCTCATGTTTCTATATCCATTATTATGTACTGTAACAGGTTTATTATTAGTCTCTCTGCTTTCAGTCTTACCTCATGTGTTCCACATGACAATCAGTAGAACCCTTTAAAAATATGCCATTCCTCTGCACATAATCCTCTACAGGCTTTCTAATCTATTACATGGTCTGCAACAAATTACATTTTTTGGCTCCTGCTTTTCTTACAATTTCAGTTATTTTGTGTTCCCTCCTGCCCAATACACACAAGCCACTGCCTTCCTTTCAGTGCTTCCAATATGCCCAGCTCTTTCCCCATATTGGGGCCTTCTCACAAGCTTTTCCATCAGCTGGAAAGCTCTTTGTGCCACTTTCTCATGACTGGCTCCTTCTCATTCTTCCGATCTCAGTTTATATGCCACTTGCTCAAATAAGCATTCCCTGGCCCTCCAAGTAAATATGGCCCTCCCCGTTGTACTTCACCACAGAAACTGTCCACTTCCTTAATAATAGTTGCCATAGTTTGTAATTCTTTATCTATTCATTTGTTATTTGACTTTTGAAACAGTGGTAACATCTTACATATTTACAAACAAAGATGGGGAAATGTAAAATTGAATATAAACAGAAACAAATGAACCTCACTATATTTCAAATAAATAACATACACTGAAAAGATAAACAGAAGATAATAACCCAAGTAACTATTAATATACACCTGTAGTGGGTTGAATGGTGGTCTCCAAAAAGATATGTCCACATCCTAATCCCTGGAACACATAAACATGACCTTACTTGGAAAAAGATTATTTGCAGATATAATTAAGAGTCTCTAGATGAGTTATCTGTGTGGGCCCTAAATCCAATGGCCTATTTCCTCATAAGAGACAGAGGAGGAGAAGACACAAAGAGAAGGCTATGTAAAGACGGAGGAGGAGGTTGGAGTTACGTAGCCATAAGCCAAGAAACACCTGGAATCACCTGGAATCACCAGAAGCTGAAAGAGCCAAGGAAGATCATTCTCCCCTAGAGCCACTGGAGGAATCCTGCCAACACTTTGATTTCAGACTTCTGGACTCCAAAATTGTGAAAGAAAAAATTTCTGTTGTTTGAAGCCACAAAGTCTATGGAAATTATAATAACCCTAAGAACCTAGTACATACACTTGGTCTAAAACCAAAGAACTATAAATAAATATTGAATTCTAGTTAATACATTTGTTTCTTTTTTGCAGTGGTATATGCATTAACAATTCTGAAACTGCTTTCAATATAATGAAGAATTAAGCCGATGAGGAAATACGTGGAGGATGTGGGACGTCAGGTTTCTTACTATTGGAGAAGAGAGTTATTATACAAAAGTGGAAAGGGGGAAGCCTAGAATGAACTCTGTGGTGTTTACATGAAATAAAGGAAATCAATATGAACTTGTGATTTTTAATAGGTTAGATATACATATATATATATATAGTTGTATACGTATATATGTGTGTGTTATTCTCAGCTCTATGTGCTAAGAATGTCTAGAAACAATACACTTCAGAAAAAGCACAGAGATCCTGGTTTCTAGCTATTATTGTCCACTAAAATGAACTAGGGCTTCTTGCAGAAATTATCGATTATAGGGCTAGAGTAGGAAAAAGAACAAGATGAACATGGACCATTTTGTTATGCCGAAAAATAAGAAAGTACTACATAAAATGCAAACATGTTTAAAAAATAAAGTGCAGGCTGAAGGAGCTTCCAGTGGCTAAACCTGGAAAGTTAGGGTATCAAAATAAATAATGACAGCAATGGATTATAAACCATTGACTAGAACAAGGACCCTTGAGTGCATACTGATATAATAAATTAATAAACAAATTGATTAAAGAAAGCTCTCCCCTATAGAATGCTATTGATAACTATAAAATGGATGATGGAAAGAAGAAGAAAAATCACCATATTTAGGTATAAATCAGTAGGATGTTCAGGATCTCTATGCCAAAACCCACATGAAAGATATAGAAGACCTAAGTAAGTGAGGAGATATACTGTGTTGATGAGTTGGAAGTCACAATGTACTTAAGATGTCAATTCTCTGCAAATTGGTCTTTGGACTCAATTCCAACCAAAATTCCAATAGGATTCTTTGTAGATATAGACAGGATGATTCTAAAATGTATGTGAAAAAGTAAAAAAACTAAAATAGCCAAAACAATTTTTTTTTTTTTTTT